CAATAGTCACATATTGTCAATTTAGGACTGGCTCACGAAATATATAATTCTTGTACCAGTAAAAAGAGCGACGGCTTTAGAAACAGCAAAAGCACTTTTAAACAGAGTAATTGCCTACTTTGGCGCCCCAGAAAAAATGCTGTCAGACAGAGGTGCACATTTCCAAAACAAACTGTTAGAAGAGTTTGCAAGAGTATTTAAAATAGACAAAATGGGAACAACAGCCCTCCATTCACAGAGTAACGGCGCAATAGAACGAATGCATCGTACATTAACGGAATAAATAAAGGCGTACATGAATGAAGACGACTTTTGGGACGATCATTTGGGCATGTGCATGTGCGCTTACAATTCGACAAAACATTTAGCAACAGGGATAGCGCCTCAAGAAGTATTGCTGGGCTACCCAGCCAGAATCCTATCTAGCTTCAAGAAAACAACGAATGAACGAACGTAAGATAAATATGTAGAGGACGTTATAAAATCAATGACGCGGCTAAGGACAATAACAGCCATGAATCAAGTTCAGGCGAAGTACAGGTCCAAATATTATTACGACAAAAAATTGAACACAAGATTTTTCATGGAAGGGGAAATGGTCTATGTTCTTACAGAGCCGAGAAAGAAATGTGAGGATCACTACGGAGGACCACACGAAATCGTAGGAATAAATTACAAGAACCACAATATAAAACTGAAACGTGGCAAACGAAACAAGAATTACATACGTGAATAAAATCAAGTAATTATGCGTTATAAGAACCCAATTGTTAGATAATAGGGAACTCTAGGAATAAAGCAGGATAACAAAAACAAATCACATAAGAGTAAGAAGCAAATAAAAAAATGAGATATCAGAAGCAACAAGACCAAAATAGTGTACTTCTCTCGTAAGCATGGCCTTTGGACGACTTACAAGATCAGCAGCCGTTCAACTGTATAATAAAAAAAAGGATACAAATCTTGTGTGTCAGGGCTGGAACCATGCCAGTGTCACAGCAACCTGGAGAAATAGAGAAAATTGATAGAAACCCTGTAATATTGGTGGAGAGCTTGGGCCTGATCCAAGCAGTCGCATCAACTTGGAAAATGATATGGTATGTAGATTGGAAGGACGTTGTCGAGAAGGTAAATTCGTTTTTAGACGCGAAAAGGCAAACAAAATGTAAGTGCAGGGTGACGGTAAAAAAGGAACACGAATGTATAGAACAAGTAGAGTACATAACAGAAAAAGTCCTAAGAGACTTGGATAGAGTAAAAGAGGCATATAGAACAGTAGTAGGCCAAAAGATCGGTGATCAATCAAGACGGTGCAAGCGCTGCAGGGGGGTGTGACTGACGCGGAAAAAGAGAAAATACAAAAGCTAGTAGAGGCGGTTCCGACTAACATAATGGAAACAGCTAAGTACTTAACGGAACAAATTAGAGTCATAACATATGGAAACCATGAACGATACCTTCAGGATATAAAAACGTTTAAAGATAAAGCTGGGAGAATAACGGAGGAAGGTTTAAAAATGTTTGCAGAATACTTCAGCGATTATGACAGAGTTACAGGAATGGTGGGCGAATTTGAACACTTAGCCGAGAAACTTATAACAAAATTTGGAACAACGGTGGACATAATATACTTGGCGAGTCGGGGAACGACACATATACCAGATGCGGCATTGGAAGCGATTTTGGAAGCAAAAATTTTGGCAGAGCAGCTGAGACCAGATCTACAGTTCCTAGTAAGGAAAAATACAACTACAGAAGAGGAAATTGGAGAAATCTCAGAAATAACGACCATGGCATTTAGCTTCAGAATAATATATTACATACGGATACAACTGGTTACGAAAGAAAATTTGGACCTTCTTAGGATATCATCATTACCAGTGGAACAGAAAGGCTTAAATACTACGGATTTTGTGGCATACTTGCAGCCAACATACGAATACATAGCGAGCAGTGTTAGTGAGAGAAGATTTACGCCAATACTGCAAGAGGTGATAAAACTATGTAAAAGACTAGAAAGAACACGAATATGCACACAAATGGAGCCAACACAGGAGGTCGAAGAGGACCAGCCTTGTGAGATACGTATCATATTGGGGATTGCAGTGAAGAAACCAGAAGAATGTCCGATAATATTAGCCAAGTTAAATGGCACATTTTGGACACGTCTCCATGCTAAAAACCAACATGCCTTTACCACCACGGGAAAGGACAAAGTCCACATACAGTGTGAACACACCGAACACAAGACACTGACGGTGGTGGATTTTGGGGTGGTCAGCTTTGCAAGAGACTGTATAGCTCAAGCATCGGATACAAGACTGGATCCAGGACAATAGGTAGGTGAAAATCGCATAATGAAGCTTGAAAGCGCAAATCCAAACTTGAAGGATATAATACTAAAGGTGAATGGGACTGAAGCAGGTATGTTTTTGAATTAATAGAAGCAGTGATAAAAAGAGACGGACTACAGGAACTCGATAACCAGGAGCACGGACTTGACGATAGGGTAAAAACAGGTACCAAGCTAGCGGATATACTCCAACGGGCACACGAGTTAGTAGAAACAAAGGAGGAATCCTTGAATTGGAAGGAATACGCATTGTTGGCAGCGGAAATAGCACTAGGAGTGGCAGCCGGATCTTTGGGATTTTTAAAATGGGGGGGTCCAATAATACTTAAAGGTTTGAGAATGATTACAGGCGGACGGGAAAGGAACAGCGGAAACACCAACTCGGTTCTACAAGACTTGTCAACCCAAAGGGCCTTGGTTAGCGCACGAGAGGTACAAGTGCTACTGGGCGAGCGGGTAGGATCAGAAGGCAGAAGACAACCAGCTCAGTTAACAACCAATCCGCGATGATCATTTAGGTCGACGATGTAATAAAAAGGCTTGTGCATTAGATGTGTACAGATTAAGAAAAAA